GTTGTCAAATTTAATTATTCCAGCCAATTAACAGGATAATATGAGGGAGTAATCAGATAAAAACTAAACTTCTTTTTACAATACAGTATATTTAAAAGGAAAGAAGGAAATATTGAGTATTTCATCCCATACTGTGTATGGCACTACACAGTAATTCAGCTGGTGAGCAGCTAAAGTTGGGCTGAGAAACCATGCGTCCTATGTGAAGAGCCAGCTTGTGTGGCTTTCAGTTCATTGATTTAGGTCTCAGGCTGCAAAACCTCCTTGACAGGGACTGGATTTGATGATCCATAGGGTCCCTTTCAGCTCTGCAATTTAAAGAAATGTTGCAGCAAGATTTCACCCATTATTTACTTAATATATGTGTCCTGTAATGGTATTTTTGATTGTTGCAAATCAGGTACAGCAAGAGGCCCATAAAGCACTATGCTCGTATATAAAATTTAGCCGCACTTCCCAAAAGATTTATATCTTGTATTTCAAGATATTTATTTAAATTTCATGCACCAGGATTTAAAACACTGCCACAAGTGGGCATGGAGTATTTTCTGAGAATACCAATGAATTGAGCAACAGTGTTAACAACAGGTACATGTACTGTACGTTTCTTGTCCTTCCAACCTCAAAACACAGATCTTGTCTGCTTTTGGAAAACAAACAGGCTCAGGCTTTCATTGTTCTTGGTTCTGAATAACAAGGAATACCAGCAATCTCCAGGCAGGGCTAGGACAGAATCCTGCCTGGAACCCCTCAAGAGCCACTCAAAGTTCACAACACTTGGGTAGATAGACCCACCGGCCAACTCAATGTAAGGCCGTTTCCTAGACTGCTCTGTAATGAGAAATTCCACCACCACTAACCCACGAATGCGGACAAGCTACTGATAATCAGAATACACCACTTCTGCTACACCGTCTCACAGTTCAGTGAAAACCAGCATGGACTTCTTTTTTTTCCAGTATGCTACATTGGCTAACTACACTTTTATTTGCCAGGAGTATATGTGAGCATGTGCACCGGCTCCTTTAAAAAAAACATACATGGGAAGTTAAAATTGTGCAGGTGACAACTGCAGAATGCCTTTATTAGAGGGCAAATTCTAGGTAGCTTTGGAGTACGTAAGGGATAAAAATACCCTATCCTGATTAATGAGGTTCAACTATTTGTATACTGTATTCGCGAAGGCTTTCACGGAGGATAAAAATACCCTATCCTGATGAATGAGGTTCAACTATTTGTATACTATTTCTTATTTAAAAATCAGAAAGCAGCTTATAGTAAATTATTGCAATTAAGGCATATTGTTCTAAAGATAAGAAACTTGGATTGGCAGGGTGTGTATGTGACAGGGGCAGCCACTTGAGTTGGTCAAGCCTATGTGATGTGGGAGAAGCTGACAGCCCTAGGAAGATGTACTATTATAAGACCAATTCCAAGATCTAAGAGAAATCAGCCAAGCAAGGCTCCTAGATATGCCACCCAAACAGTTAATTTTGTCTGGCAGCTCCAGCAAGATCAAGCTGTTGTTCAGTGGAGATAGCAGCCATTTCAAGATCTGGTTTGATCTGTATCCAAGGGTTGATTGTTGCTACTGAAGAATGAAAGAGCAAGCTTTACATATCAGGAGTAGGACTCTGTGGATACCATTTGAAGTCCTCTGACTCTTTCAGTACTGTATGCCTGAAAGAGAGGGCTAGTATATTTTATATTGCTTTACATGTAGGCACTTCAAAATCCCTTCTTTATGTCTTACTATTGATGTAAGCCCTATGGATCTAATTACATTTTCTTTCATTATTCAGTTCCCCTTCCTTACAAAATATAACAATCAGGAGGACTAGCAACAGATGTCAAAACAAATCCCTAAAAGTCACAAGTAAAGGCACGTCTACAGTGTAAGATAATCTTGTGTAACTATTACAGCTTCTATCAGTTAACCCTGTAAACTGTTAGTGAAGGTGCTAAGAATTAGCTGATTAAAAACTCTGTTGTGCTGTGTTGTCAGTCACTTCTGACTTGTGGGGACCCCAGGGATGAATAGCCTCTAAAAGGCCGTAGAAGAGTTAACAACAGTCCTACTCAGATCTTGCAAACAATAGGGCACACACTCTGATTACAAAATCACCATTTCCTGAGGTATTCAGGGAGCAGAGCCCATTACATGTTTAACTGTTTTAACTGTATTGTATAGAGATGTCCTTTCTGACAACGCACACAAAGCTGGTCTAGGGAGATTGTTATATAAGCCTCCGGGAAGAACAGGAAGGTTTTTCTGAACAAAATTCAGGGAACAGAAAGATTACAATCGTGAAGAAAGAATTTGTAAAACAGTTCCTTAAAGATGTTTTCATCATCATAATTTTGTTCTGAAAATTATTTTTTGGATTCCCTTCTCACATCTGTATTCAACTCTTCAGGGCAACATTCAAGGGATCATACCATTTTATATTCATATCAATCCAGCAAAATAGACTCAACTGTTATTGATAAGGAGCCCCCAAATCACCCAGAGAGCTATACTGCACTACACTAGTTTCTGCCCAGTACAAATCTAATACTCTGTCCACTGCAATACAGAAGCCTTATTTTAAGAGAAAAAAACACAAACAACCCAGACTTGTGGGCTCCCATCTCTGTATTTTATGTATGAAGAAGTGGGAAATATTCCATGAAAGCGTACATTGAAATAGTTAGTCTTTAAGGTGCCACAACATCTTCTTTTTGTTTTGCTTTTGTGTTTCTTCTTGAAATATCTCTAACAAGTGACTCACCACCCATCTCCATCACATACACTTTCTGTTTTGCCTCACTGAGGTGACTTCATCTACTGTCACCAATCTAGCAACCACTCACCTATGGATGGCTTCCATCTGAATCTGAGAAGTAAAGATAATTCCAGAATTTGGAAACAACAAATTACAACTTAACAGAGATCTGTAACATTTTTCTCTTCTTCTCACGTAATTAGAACGTATAATGAAGGCACATATGAAAACTAACATAATACACAAGAACAATGCTGCTTTTTTTTGGTGTGGCAAGTAACATTTTCTAGTTATTTCTGAAAGCTGTTCCTTAAGGACTTATCTTTTTTCAATATTTTAGAGGAATAATTTTCCAGGGTTCATGCTATTTGCATGTTGATCTTAGCTCACCCACAAAAGTCATAAAAAGCAACAGAACCATAACAATCAACATAGCAAGATGAAGATGTCACAATAGTGGTGAGTAATAACAGGAGAAGTGGTCTTTGTAATTAATTATACAGTGAACAATAATACAACTGGCAATGCACCCACCACAGCATCTTTTGGCAGGGGCTAACTTAAGAGGTACAAAGCAGATCCCCTGTCAGAAGCATTAATGCTTGCTGCCAGTTCTTGCCTCCCCCAAATGTCTGCTGCCTCACAGACACCTCATTCTGTCTAAGGCAGAGCTATAAATGATGTTTGGTACATGGCTTTTCTCCTATGGCCAAAGGATGTTCTGAAAATGCTGTCCTGCACAACATGGATATAGTATCTTGCCCTCCTCTCATAACTCATGGCAATCCAATAAAACTGACTTGCAGGAAATTCAGGAGAGACCAAAGGAAATACATCATAGAAATTATTATTTCCTCAAACTAAATAATAGATTTTGCCGCTGTAAGAAGGGGAGCTGGCCACTAGCTTAGACAGATGTGGTGATGGGATTATAAAAGAGAGACCAAGGACTCAGAATATACATTGAGTAAATATTGTGATGAAACATATTTAAGTTGACTTAGAAAATTAAACAAACAGAAGAATCTCTATTTGACACTAGCTATTGAGGCCACAGGGATTCATTACAGTTGGCCCTTCAGATGTTTTGGATTCACTGCTCATTGGCTATACTGTCTAACACCAAAGGTTGAGAACCCCTGATTTAATGTGCTTTGATGGGGAAAGATCAGGCTTTGTTGGGCTCTAAAGCAGGGCAAAATGATAGAACAAGAAATAAGTCTAGTGCCTACAGCAAGTCCAGCTCCAGGCACTTGTAATTGTATAAGGCTACCACCTAAACTCATTCACGGTGATGTCAAGCTAAGGCCTGACATTTTGCTTCTTCAGGGTCTGCACTAGAGTAGGGCTTGGAGAAGTCTGTGCAGATAAGTCACAGCTGACCCTTTCAGGGTTTAAGCAGTGTGGATCCCAGATAATCTAATATGCCTTTAAAAATAATCTTCCTATTATTTTCTTTTTTCATTCAGCAGGCTTGTATATTAGACAATAAAATGTAGGAAATGTAGAAATTCAGAAAACAGTCATACATTTAAGACAGAAAAAATAACTGGTAACTATCTTTGCTACATCTGTGTTAAAAATAGATTGTTTTTTTAAGAAGCATAAGAATTTATTGTATAACTAATAAGCACACCAGAAATGAGCTATAAAGCTATAGATTTATAAACAGTTTATTGCCAGCAAAAAGAGCATATATTACAGTACTTCATCTTGTCATTGTGCTTCTCTACCTCTTTCTAAATGAATGATATTCTCAAATCACTGGCATAAGTCAAAATAAACTGAGTTTTTTTCTACTTGTAGTCCTGGTTTCCCTCTACAAATCTCAAACTATAATTGACAAAAATGGTGACACTAAAGCAGTAATTCTAAACAAATCTTACAGTATTCGCTACTAATCAAAATATCACTATCCTATCTGGAAAGCACTGTATTCTGACCTTAACTAGTATCTTGCTGTTCTAGCATGTGTATATACTTTATCATCAGAGATTTAGTCTAAACAAGAAATCTGTCTTTATTGGCTTGCTATCTAGGCAAACTTAAGAACATATAAACATCCTTTCTACAGTTGCCACTTGAACCAAATTGCCCTTTAAGCACATAAAATAAGCAGTAAGAGACAAGAAAAACATTCGGAGTTCTTGCTGCCACTTAGCAGAAAAACTGGGAGGGAGCAATATGAGAATATTGGCTGGTTATCATGACACCCCAAACCCACCACCAACTCACCTGTAAGCTGGTTGAAGCCCAGCTGGTGCAGGGCATGTGTGACATTGTTTTCATAGTTGAGGAGAATGTAGAGTGCATACTTGTCTTCATAGTACTGGGTCCCTCGGATCATGCGCAGATTCTGCAGCGGCAAGTATGTAAAGTAATTCATAGCGACCAAAACATAGCCAGTCACTTCTCGGATAGTCTGTGGAAACACAAAAGATATCATAATATCTAGATTTTCATTATCAAGTGATGCAACTGATTTCTCCTTTTAAGACTTGCATCAGGAGGCTGGTTTCAGAAATATTTACTGAAAGCACTCAGGGTTGGGACAAACATAAGTACTCTGTGCTTTTGTAATGCAGAAACGCTTCAAATATGCCTTACAAAATTGTATGCTAATTCTCTGGAGATATCTGGCAAAATGTCTCTTTCTGGAGGCCTGTCACTTCATTAGTTTCTTTAAAACAAGCCTGATTTTTTTTTAAAAAATTCTTTAAACAAGATCTGCTTTTTGACTCTCTCCATGACCTTTCATTCCTCAACAGACTTCCTGTATGAAGCTGCAACAACATATCTACTTTGGAATGTTATTGCTTGTAAGCCCGTTTCACTCAGTTTATAACAAAGTCACTGTTTTCCCTTTTGAAAGACCTTTTTTGTGGATCAATATTTCAGCCCCTCAATCCTGAATTGTTTTCAAAATAATTTTTAAAACATGGGTGGGGGTCAACCATTTTCTTTCAATATATGCAAGAGTGGTCTTTTAAATTTATCTGTTTCAAAGCTGGGGGCATTTTGGGTCACTTGTTTCTGCACAGGGGGTGTAGTGTGAATGATTTTAAAATTATAACTCAAAAACCTTTTGCCAAGTTTGCTTCTCTGAATCTGGCACAGAGCAGGAGAAGACTGTTTAGCCACCTCCATTTTTAGAAAGATGATTTGTTCTGCCAACAAAATAACATCACTGCACTCTCATGCAATGATAATACAGTTTGTAGAAGCAACCATTAGTTTATTGCATGCTTGTCTGTCTCTCCTTAGATCAGTCATAGCCTGTTTTCACTGCTTTGCCATGAGACATCATTTCAGAATCTCTGATAAGAACACTTATCTTCCATGTGTCTATGTTTAACACATTAGATGGAAATAATTTCCAAGCTTCAGCCTGTTCTGTCTTTTGCTGTTTGCCACTAAGCTGGTAGTTGGTTCCCTCTGGGCTGAGGGAAAAAAGTTATTAAATTCCAATCTACACTCACTAAATTCGTATTTGCTAAGAGTCAAACTTTAATTATGCATATCTCCCTGAAGAATCTTCCATCACTGAGGTAAAGTTCTTCCAGGAAACTATCTGCAGCAAGGTCAAATTACAATGACTTTGTGAAGTCCTAGTACTGTGAAGTTCTTAACTGATATGCTAATATATTTATGTGTGCCAAACTACAGTGGTTTCCAGCTTGATGACGATAATGCATTCCGTTAAAATCGCTGTTAAGCGAAATCGTCGTCAAGCGGGAAAAAACCCCATTGAAATGCATTGAAAACCGGTCAGTGCGTTCCAACGGGGAAAATCCCTGCTCATCCAGCGAAGATCCTCCATAGGGGAAGCCATTTTGCATCGCTGTCTTCCGGAAATAGGTCCAGAAAACAGCAGGGAGCCATTTTGAAAACCTGACAATCAGCTGTTTTTAATCACTGTGAAGCGAAAAATCAGTTCCCGAAGCAGGGAACTGATTATCATAAAACGCAAAAAACCCATTGGAATCATCGTTTTGCGATCGCTATAGTGATTGCAAAAAACTCATTGTCAAGCGATTTCATCGTCTAATGGGGTAATCGTCAAGCAGGGCACCACTGTATAGATGTGTGTATCTATTAAACACATGCTTATCTATTTACCTAGGAAGTAGAAAAGGTGTCCCCTCTCCTTACCTTAAGTGTTTCTCCTCATTGTCCAGCTGATAGTGTTGCTGGGCATAGGGAGAGAGCTTAACATAGAAGGGGGGGAGGAGGATAGTAGGGTACAAATTCCATCAGCGGCTGCCAGTTGAGCCTGGATAATGAGGGATAATGGGAATTGCAATCTAGCAATAGCTGAGAGGGGGGGCTCACACTCTTCCTTTCTCACCTAAAAGATCCTTGTTGATGTTAGCTAAGATGTGGGTTGAGGTTGTTTCACTCATTATGGACTAATTTTGCTATTAAAAAGTAGGCCCCCGCCAGCCAATAAATAAGCCTTAATAGGTTTGCTGCCCCATAGTACAGGAGAACTACTCTACTACAACTGGCCAGCAGCAGTCTAACATTCTGCCATGTGCACAGTGACCAGCCAAATACCACAGAAATATTTGCTAGCATTGAATAATGGCTGTTAGCTACGGAATATTGACCCTCAACTTTTACTGTTCAGATACATGCAGCCTCTGAACATGGAGGCTTCAAAATGACTGTTATAGCTTGAAGCTATTGACAGGACTATTCTCTAAATGATTTGTCGATTATCTTCTACCTGTCATAATAACATTGTGCATCATGAGTTTTGCAGGTTAATTGTTGTTGTTATGTGCTGTCAAATCGCCCTTGACTTATAGTGATCCTATGAATGTGTGATCTCTAAAATGGTCTGTCTTCAACAGCCTTACTCAGCTCCTGCAAACTCAAGCCTATGGGTTCCTTAAGGGTGGTGGTTCCCACTGCTAGTGATTAAGGCTTCTGGGAATTGTAGTCCAAGAAAATCTGGAGGCCCAAGGTCAAGAACCACTGTTTTAGGGAGTAAGCCCATCTCGTATTTGGTCTTCCTCCTTTCCTGCTGCCTTCCACTTTTCCCAGCATTATTGTCTTTTCCAAAGAATCCTGCCTTCTCATGATGTGACCAAAATAGGACAACCTCAGTTTCATCATTTTTGCCTCCAGAGATAGTTCAGATTCTATTTGATCTAGGACCCACTGATTTGTCTTCCTGGCAGTGCAGGATATCTGTAAAGTTCTCCTCTAGCACCACATTTCAACCAAATTATTTTTTAACACTTTTTTTGTTTCAGGAGTGGATTTCTCTAACACAGGGATAGGTGAGATGTGGCTTTCCAGATGTTGTTGTTTGGCTGAAAGTCTCAGCATGGTACACATTGGCTATGCAGGGGCCGGAACTGAGCGAAGTTGTGCTTTCGTAACATCTGGAAGGCCACCATTTGCTCCCTACTGCTGGCGCTGTTCTGATTTTATTACCAGAAGTGACAACATGTTAGACTAAGTCGACTATTCAAGGCAATGATACCATTTCAGTTAAGGAACTGTTGTAGCAGGCATACATGCCCCCACTTGACTGCGACCTACAGGAGAGTAAGTGTCACCCTGGCTCTCAAAGTCAGTGGAAGTGACCCTTAGAGAAAGGGCTTGCCCTGTGGGAGGAAGAGTGAATGGGCAGGGGGAAAGTCCCTCCGTGACTTCAGAAGCTGGTTGCTGACAACTCACTCTGTCGCTGGAAAGAGGAAAGTTAATTCTGGTGGTGGTGAGTAGGCCCCATTTACACAATCACATTACAGAGAGCCCTTCCCACTCGTAATGGCACAGATCCCACATACCACAGGCAGGCTCAGTCTAGATGAGTTGCGACAGGGATCCCAGCCCCAGTCTCCATGGCCTCAGATGGTTTTGTATTTTTATTATTTATTTATTTATTTGTACAATATTAATCAATACATACAGTCATTTCCGTACTCTTCTTTCCTTCCTCCCCTTTCCCCCAACAGAGTCATATCCTAACTCTCATGAGACTTTCCTAGGAAGACTATAGTCGTATTCCAAGTACGTTATACAGACCAATAAATCCTGCATGCTTTAGGGGAGTCCCTTATTATCTATTCCATTCATATAAACAATAAGGGGAGGGGGCAGTCTGTTGTGAAAGAATCCAAATGTTTTGTCCCTTTAGCTTTGGTGGTTAATTTTTCCTGCATCAGTATCTGCCATATTCTAGAGTACCATGCTGCAATTGATGCTGCCTGCATGTTTTCCCACCCTTTGGCTCTCATCTGTTTTGGTGCTACTGGAAGATGGCCTATTAAGGGATTAAAATGATTAGAAGATGGCCTATTAAGTTATTAAAATGAACTCATTCTCCCCTAAGAAATGGAAAATAAGCTCTAATTTCAGGGATTTAGCAGTTGACCAATTTGTAACTGTGTTTATTTCATACCTTTTCCCAAAACTGATCTACTTTTGTGCAAAATCACCAGACATTTTGAAATTATCCCTTACACTTACAGCCTTCCAACACATGAGTCATTGATGTTACAAGGTTGATATGTGAGAGCCAAAGTGGGGTAAAACACAAATTTTTTGAATATTATCAATGCAGTCTCCTTAGAAATAACAGAAACCTCTTTATACAGAAACTTTGGAAACATCTCTGGCCAGTTCTCTTCATTAATTTTTATATTCCCATATCTCTCACACCCCAGTGAAGAGCCTAGATCTGCCTCAATCAACAATGAATCAAGTTTTGTCTTTGCTCCCTTATTTATTTATTTCAGCTAGAGAACAGAGCTCATCTTCAAACGGGGTGAGACATCGTATAGTCTACTTCATTGTATCATCTTGTCTAATAAAATTACTTATTTGATACCAGGTTAAGCACAATATACCCCATTCTCCGAAGCAGAATCTCCATAATATCCCTAGGGAGAGATTGTTGATCGATGCAGAGCTCTGCTAATCTAATAAGACCAATAGTTTCAAAAATTTTAGAGATTAAATACTTCGTGATCTGTGAGAGACCTGATTGATATTAGAGGAGAGATGTCCCATAGGAACTTTTTTTCTTTATTTCCGCAGCTGCATTGCATGATGTAAAGTCCTATTGACATTCTGAAGCTGACATTTTAAGACCTGTTCCACATAAAGTATTTTTTTTCCAGCGTAGATTTTTCTATTTGAAAAATAGGGGGTTGGCCTGATCTTTTTTGTCTAGCTCCATTGCATGATGAAGTTGATAGGCTTCATAATATGTGTGGAGTAAAGGAATACCCTAGACTCAGTTTTTCCTATTAATGAGAAACATTTCAATCCCTTACTTCTATATTTGGAACGTCGCATCCTGACTTTTTTAAGGCAGGACATAAAAAGATGGGTGACCTGCGGCCTCAGTTGTAAACTGAAGGCAAATTTCACTCAGAGAAGAAACTTTCTGGGTTCTGTAATGAATCATCACCACCAGAGATGCCCTACTCTCTCTGTTCCTCTCTAGAGTGCAAATCTGATTGAATCTGACACACAAGAAATGAGACCATTCACTGTCCCTTCAGTGAGGCAAGAGCCAAAGAGGAAAAACCAGTCAAGCCATGTTGTTCCCATCATCACAATCTCAAAGCTGTATTCCATGTCTGCTCGTTTTAGCACAGCTGGATTTTGTTTTAATTTCAGGCCGCACCCCATCTATGGCCATTCCGATACTCAAAACTGTACAGTTTTTGAATTGCCCTTCCAAAAGCAAGACATGATCAATTAAACTCCTTGAATTAAGTCCTCAGATTGGAACATACTGTTTGTTAGGAAGTGAACCTCACTGAATAGGTTTTTCCTGTGATGCAAGTGTTCAAAGCTTTAGGGGAAGGGTTAACATCATCAGGCTGGAACAAAAGGAAAAAGTATGTAGATTTTCAAGCTTTTCTCTCTACCAGGGTGGGAAACATTTTTCAGATCAGGGGCCAATTGGTTGAGCTGCATCTATGATGACCAGCTGAATGCATAGTGTGCCATAGGAACTAGGAGAAGACAGTATCTTCTCCCATCTCCTGCTCAGCGTTGTGAGCACCTGCAGTTCTCAGCTATGCTCTTACTGACCCGGCAAGTAGAGATAATGCAAGAATGGCTTTAAAAGCTTGGTCCATTCACGGACAAATAGATGAATGGACACATCCCTCTCCACCAACATACATACATGCACCAACCAATGTCATTTTTAATTCTTTTACCTGAAGGAAGGAGAGGTCCGGATTCTTTTCAATGAGCACAATCTCGAGATTACCCATGACAATTTCACAGTTGTTGTACATTTTGTATAGCGTCTGGTAGCGTTGCTGGGTGTCCCCAGTGAAGCTGAGTCCATTTAGGGTGCCCGCACAAACTGCAACAAGAAAAGGGAAAGAGGTATATAAGTCACTGACATAACACTACAGCTATAGTTCTGTGACTGATCTTCAATGGGATGAATCAAGTCTAACTCCTTCCCTAAGCAAGATCTTCCATATATCAGCCATGCCCACCACAGGCAGGTTATCAGGTATGGACCAATTTTGGGCCCAGAATGAACAGTGTGTTCTACAGAATGCTTTGTCTCATACGTAGCATCTGACTCTGTGTGGCATGCATGTAAAATTAACCTGTATCAGGTTTAGTAACTGTTATGCCTTCCCTCTGCATTCTGAGGATCACTGGCTGAAATCCTGTTCGTGTAGTAAGGTACAACTAAAGTAGGCTCACTGAATCAATGGAATTTACAGAGGAGTTAACTCACCAAATCCTCACTGATTCAATGGACTCCTCTAGTTGTGATTTACCACACTAAATAACAGGATTTCAGGAATTAAGGTGGTGAATGTTCTGTTTCCTCTGACACAGAATTACAGTTCTCAGGTTTGTCTGAGGGCAGGGAATGACAAACTATTTGGACCATCTCTTCCTCCAATCAACTTTCTCTAATCTGGGAAAACGCCCTGCCTTGTATTACCCCAGCCATAGTAACTGGGATGATGTTGGGCTTACTTTAGATAGTGTGGGGCAACTGTCTCAGGCAGCAGATTCTGAATGTTATGAAAAGCAGAGCTCAGAAAAATTATTCCTGGATTATCACTTCTCAAATCTTCAGCCATCATGGCTGCTACCCATGGTAGCTATGGGATTCTGATCATGGTCGTTCAAGCAAATAACTTTTCCAAACTTTGATGAAACAAATTCTTACTTACTTATTTACTATGCTATTATTACCTTTAAATAAAAACCTGCCAGGAATGAAGAGAGATGCTTCTGGGACTTTCTGCCATATGAGGTTTTTAAAAATTCTGCCATATATGTATTTAAAAACTGGTGTTGGGTACAATCACTTTTATTAGGGTAGGTTTGGAGAAATCATAATCATTTATAATCATTTTAGAACTGCAGAGCTGGAAAGGACCCTATGGGATCATTGAGTCCAGCCCTTGTCAAGGAGGCACAGCTGGGAATCAAACTCCCAACCTCTGGCTCTGCCGTCAAATATCTATGCCATTGAGATATCCAGCAGTTGTATCATCTGTTCTCCCTCTGGAAGCAAAATACAGTATTGGGTCAGCCCTGGGCTCAAATATTATGGAAGATAGCAGCAGGGTGGATTACCCGAGATAACTCCAGAAAGAGCTTTTGGTGCAGCAGACAAGAGTATTACTCATAAAGCCTTATGGGGATTGCATATAATTAGTGGCTGCTGGTCCAAATTGACTAGTAGTATCACAAGATGTAAGGGACGTGGTGGCGCTGTGGGCTAAACTGCAGAAGCCTCTGTGCTGCAGGGTCAGAAGACTAGCAGTCGTAAGATCGAATCCATGCGACACAGAGAGCTCCCGTCGCTTTGTCGCAGCTCCTCGCCAACCTAGCAGTTCGAAAGCATGCAAATGCAAGTAGATATATAGGTACCACCTCAGTGGGAAGGTAAAACAGCGTTCCCTAGTCACGCTGGCCACGTGACCACGGAAACTGTCTTCAGACAAGCGCTGGCTCTACAACTTGAAAAACGGGATGAGCACCGCCCTCTAGAGTCGGACACGACTGGGCTGAATATGTCAAGGGGAATCTTTACCTTTACCTATCACAAGATGTGTCAAAATTAAATGTAGCAGAAACCAGCGCTGGTAATGCAAAACATGTTTGATGGCTATCTTTTGTAAAATTCTCCCTGTGTTTCCTGCCTGGCACTATTATTATTGACAATAAGTAGCCATCTGCAACAAAAATGTACACAGTTCCTCAGAAGGGAGGCAGCTATGGCGTGTATCCAAAGAGCTATTCTAAGTACAACCAGTCAAATGGAATTTTTTTACTTTTCCTCTATGAACAGCTGACCCCATATTTTATAACTATTTTAGGATCCCCTCTCCCCCTGTTTTATAACAGCAGTGGAGAGTTCCTTCTCAAGAAGACACCAGCTGAAGGCTGCCTAGGAACAGAGAAAAGTATAACATAGCTTTTCTATTACATATGTAGATACACATCCAAATATCAATAAATGGATATCTTTATTAGGGATTAATTCTAAACATAATGTCCATTTTCAGTTTCATGATTTCATTCAGAATTTAAAATATGAATTTTCTGGAAAGGAAAGAATAGCATATTTACATATGTTTGCAAACTCTCTCTCACTCGCCTGCTCTCTCTCTCACACACACACACTGCTCACACGCTTTTGTATTTTGTTTACCAACCAACTCACCAAATGACAGTTTCATTTGCCAAAGTACAACTAGACCTTTGCATTTAATTGCCAGCATAATTATCAGATTCAGTCCTAAATGCTAAAGTGGCAATCCCTCATGAAAAATGCATTCGACAGAGTGACTCTTGCATGAATGTATATCGGGGTGGGCAATTAATTTCTATAGGGAGGGGCCACATGAAAAATCTGAACTGTGTTCGGGGGCCGAACCAACTTTACTTAAAAATAAAATGAAACAGTGATGTTATGATTGTTTTTATTTTAAACTTGTTAATCTTCACAAATACTAAAGACGTTTTTTGCAGTATGTTAAAGATAAGCAACTTTGGACAAAAAGCTATAAATGGTTTTGATGTTCAAAACTGTCCGCGGGCCGGACAGGAGCGGCTTGCGGGCCATACGTGGCCGCACTTTGGGCCGCACGTTGCCCAGGTCTGATGTACATAAATGTATATGTATGTACTGTGTACTGTCAAGATGATTCGAACTTATGACAACCCTTTCCATTTTTGAGATAGAGAATACACGGATGTGATTTGCCATTTAATTTCTTCTCAGGGTATCCTGGGCCTGTGAACCTTATCAAACCCTCAACCTCTGACGCTGCAGCTAGATATATAAACTACTGAGCTATCCAGCCAGCTATGTACATCATCATCATCATCATCATCATCATCATCATCATCATCATCATCATCATCATCATCTCTCATCAAGTCAATTAAGACTAATGGAAACTCTTGCCAGGGTTTCCAGGTAGAGAATACTCGAAGTGGTTGACCATTCTTCTTCTTGGGATGGCTCTGGGACTGCACAGCTTGCTCAAAGCCACACAGGGTGGCTTTTCTCACAGGAAGCCCAGTGGGGGAATCACGCTCCCAACCTCGGGCCCCGCAGCCAGGTACCTCAACCACTGAGCTATCCTACAAGCTCATGTGCATACATTGATATATTCAATAATCTTTTTAAAAGAATACTGTCGGTGAATAACAGAAGATCGGATTCCCACAAGGGTTGTGCTGGCAAACAAGTGGATACTACTAACTAGGTTTTACTTCCCTGGGAAGGGAGGAAGTGAATATGAAAAATTACCAGTTGTGGTGTTGCCCTGTTTATCTGCCAGCCTACCACTGACTAATCTCACCCAGACCGATAATGGCATTCTGCCAGGCAAATGATGGACATCTGTGAGCACCTGCACACCCAGCCCTGCTCCCTGGAAGGTAAACAAGCACTCCGTTTCTTCCCCCACAGCTGAAGCGATACATAATGACTTCATTGTAAGACAAAGGGGTGGAATAGGGCTGAAACCATAATGAAGCAGGTTGCGAGATTGGCCTCTGATGGCTTTATGGGATCTCCCTTAGCCCCCAGATGGATCTCTCTTGTTTTGCAACTCTTCTTGAAGAGAAGTCAACTTAGTAAGTGCATTTATGTAACTAAGTTACAGCGCTGAATTAAAACAACCAACACAAAGATTTCCATATTCATTGGCAGGTGTATCTACTTTAACTTGCTAGATTAGGACATGGGTCTGTAAATGAGGCTAGGGAAGAACTAAGGTCAGTCCCAGAATCCCCCAGTCACCATGGCCAGTGGATGACTGGGCAAGAAGCTAAACATTCCAATTTGACTTCTAAAGTCAATTAGAGTCTACCTTCTTTGACCCAGTGATCTTGTCCAGAACTGAGCAGAAGATAAATATCAGGATCTCCTAGCACAATGGTTCTTAACCTTGGGTTACTCAGGTGTTTTCGAACTGCAACTCCCAGAAACCCCAGCCAGCACATCTGGTGGTGAAGGCTTCTGGGAGTTACAGTCCAAAAACACCTGAGTAACCCAAGGTTAAGAACCACTGTCCTAGCAGATCTCAGGGTGACTGGCAGCATGGATTTCCAACTCCCAATGGTTTAATAAAAGTGAACACCAAAACACCACCAAAGCCTTTAAAAAAACGTTGCTAGTTATGCAGCTAAAATAAAGGTGAGTGAAAGGATCTGAGGGCAAGCGTACCACACATAAATTCATGGTGTGAGCATGTCCTCAGAGGTCTCTTGTTCCTCAACCGTATATCTGTCGTCCTGAGCCATTAGTTGCATTTGGCTCTGACTGGAAGTGATCAAAGTTCCAATGGAAAAAAAGAAGTAGTTTCCCCACCCTTGATCTCTGCCGCCAACACAGAATACTATCCATTCCCAAGGTATTAATTTTGGTGAATGTGAAAACAGCAGCTTCAAAAACATGTGTGATAAACAAAGAGGATGGTGAGAAAATCAGATGTATTTATTGCCCAGAATGGTCCACTCCAGAATCTCTTTCTAGTGCCTGAGCTCATCCTTTAATATGCAATGTGAGACTTCAAAAGGCTGTGCTTTAGCTGCATCTCGGGTTAAGGAAGAAAAAAGTCCGTACATTTTCTGCATTTTAAATATCATATCTATCCGACACGTCAGGGTCTCTGTACAGAACTGCATCCTCCAAGGGTTGCCACCTTTCCTCCTCCACTAGAGAAGCACGGAGACTGTATGACAAACAGAGGCAGAGGTGCTTCTTCCTCATACCATTGGACAGGGAATTTACCAGGAAAAAATGGACCTAATGAGTCTACGCCGATGAAGTGTAGACTCATTAGGTCCACTTCTATGGTTACAGAAGTT